TGATTTGAATATGTTCCAAACCATAATATTTTATGAATATCTGTTAATATGATATCTTTCAATTCAAGGAGTAAAGCAGAGAAAGCATGTGTAGTCTATCTAAGGCTGATTTCCCTCCCAGCTCTTTTGGTTGGGAGGGATGGCATATAGGAGAGGACTGCCATGTCTCTACACTGAGATCGCCTATAACCCCAAATTCTTTAGTTTACTATTGATATTGGAATAACTAAATAAGATAATTAGCCAAGTTTTAAACATATGAATTTATGAGGCTTTTCCTCCCACTTTACCACATCTCCCTCATTGTGTATAATTTCTAGCATTATAAAGGCAGCTAAAATTCATCCTCATTTCATTCAGTATATTATAATGGGCATAAATAGCTCTGGAAGAGATTCTGAATGACTAGAAAACCTTGTATTCACAGTATGTCAGCAATATTTCCACAGAAGCTTGGTTAAAATCTGTTAACAATATTAATTGCATAGTACACATCAAATGCTGATGTTTCCTAGGTTTGTTACCTCCTTGACAGTCTTTGAGACACTTAGAATCCTGAGACTTCCCCTTCACCTCCTTCTCCTATGAGAGGAGTGGGCTATAACTACACTTCTAAAGGATACCCTTTATGATGCATGGAAAAGGGAGACTCAGCTACTTCCTCCATGTCTCTGCAGCCACAGAAGAATTTACACCTGTTCTACCCCACAAAGCTGAGCAGGAAGAGCCCTGTTCTGCAGTTGGGGGTCCTAAGTTCTTATCCCCCTCTGCCACCAGCTAGCCATATGACCTGTGCCATGTGATCTCCATATCTCTCCTTTTCCTCATCATTCAAAGGAGAGTAACACCTGCCCTACACAGCTGTATTATAAAGAAACAACATCTGTGGAAGTGCTACCAAACCAAAACCTTAAAGTTCTAAATATTGCAAGTTGGCATTGTTTAGGTTAATAGCCATCCTCTAGGGTGGAAAGTGCTATAGAGGTCTACATTACTGTTCTTAGCTAAGTCAGAAATGCTAAGACTAGAAGTGTATTTTCCATAGTCCTCCACTGCAACACAAGAGTCATCTTTTTTGGGTGTTGATTCTTTGTATAGAAAAAGATTTGCGGGGCACCTGGGTGGCGCAGTCGGATAAGCGTCCGACTTCAGCCAGGTCACGATCTCGCGGTCCGTGAGTTCGAGCCCCGCGTCAGGCTCTGGGCTGATGGCTCGGAGCCTGGAGCCTGTTTCCGATTCTGTGTCTCCCTCTCTCTCTGCCCCTCCCCCGTTCATGCTCTGTCTCTCTCTGTCCCAAAAATAAATAAACGTTGAAAAAAAAAAAAAAAAAGAAAAAGATTTGCTATGAAATAGGGAAAACCCTGCTGTGACACAGCAAGACCCTAAAAACCTATAAAGCTAGGAATTCCAAATGGACCAGGGTTATCACTTATTGTCCCTTTAGGGGTGTTATACTGAGTTGCATTCTCCAGAACCAAAACAGGCAGGCTAGTCCCACTCTAAGCAGGAGTAGTTTCAGATTGTTACAGAAGAGTGCACTGACTAGATAGTTATCTTTTTTTTTTTTTTGCCAGTGATAGTAGAAACTGCATTCCAGTTTCGCAAATTGAAATGATTACTAATCACATGGAATGCAATGATGCATATATAACCTTGTGATAGATGGCATTTCCAAAGATGGTCACAACACTATCTCCCATCCCTGCATCCCTCCCATTGAGAGGCGGGGTCTATGTTGTGTTTCCTCCCCCTTGGGATGTGGCAAGTTGTTGTGTTGGCCAATAGAGAACAGTTCAGAATGACTCTTGAGACTTGGTTGTAAAAGGCAGTGCAATTTTCACTTTGGTCAGTGGAATTAACTCTTCTGAAGAGTTACCATTCAAACAGTCTGCTTAAAGTCACCATAGTCTGAGGAAGACCAAATTCACCCTTCTGGAGTGACCACATGGAGAGGTCTTGAGACTACATGAACAGAGAGATGCCTAACCAGCTCCCACTTCTGTAGCACCTGCTGCCCCAGGTCTAGTCACCATCTGACTCCAGCCTCACAAGGGACCCAGTCAGAACTGCCTGGCTAAGCCCTTTCCAAATACAGGGGACATAATAAAATTACTATTGTTTTGACCCTCTTATTTTTAGGATGGTTTTTATTTTTTATTTATTTATTTATTTTTTATTTTTTTTTTCAACGTTTTTATTTATTTTTGGGACAGAGAGAGACAGAGCATGAACGGGGGAGGGGCAGAGAGAGAGGGAGACACAGAATCAGAAACAGGCTCCAGGCTCTGAGCCATCAGCCCAGAGCCTGACGCGGGGCTCGAACTCACGGACCGCGAGATCGTGACCTGGCTGAAGTCGGACGCTTAACCGACTGCGCCACCCAGGAGCCCCAGGATGGTTTTTATATAGTAATAAGTAACTGGAAACACTGGGAAAATATTAACATAAGCTCTTAAATAAAACACTTAACAAGGTTTTTCTTTAAGTTTATTTATTTTGGGGGAGGGGAGAGGAAGAGAGACAGAGAGAGAGGGACAGAGAGAATCCTAAGCAGACTCCACACTGTCAGCACAGAGACTGATATGGGGCTTGAACTCATGAACTGTGAGATCATGGCCTGAACCAAAACCATGAGTCAGATGCTTGACCAGCTGAGCCACCCAGGAGCCCCAAGAGGGTTTTCCATCAAGATAATCACTAAACGTTACCAACTGTGGAAGTCCGTCAGTTTTTTTAAGGTAAAGGAGTGTACCCACAAATCAGGTAGTTTTAGGAAATTAGTTAGTAATGGCTACTTACCTTGGAAATTTGTCTTTCAAACATTACTTTTTACTAATAGCCTATCATTTGTAGACCAAAGTGGGTGCAAAGAAAGTACATAAGGATGACAAATGGATGGCCTAGAAGACAGTCACAGTATCTTTGGAATGTGGTCAGAATCCTAATAGAGGCTCACTTAACTTTTTAGAGTCAGCCACATCCTTATTCTGGAAATGAGGTGACTGAGTATACTGTTGTCTTGCTCGTCAACAATTGTATCTTGGATCTTTTCTCCTATGCCTGTTTGCTACATGCAGGACATTCACTAGGTGTAATTCAGAGAAAAATAACGAAGTGTCATGGAATTTATAATCAACACACACACATATACACACACCCTCATACCTACACACACAGAGTTAATAACAATACAAAGTAGATTATGACCCTCAAATAAGTAGTATGGACAGGCTGTTGGTATTCAAAAAGGAGAAAGTTCAGGGGTGCCTGGGTGGCTCAGTCGGTTAAGCATCCGACTTCAGCTCAGGTCATGATCTCACAGTTCGTGAATTTGAGCCTCACATCAGGCTCTGTGCTGACAGTTCAGAGCCTGGAGGCTGTTTCCCATTCTGTCTGTCTGTCTGTCTGTCTGTCTCTCTCTCTCTCTCTCTCTCTGCTCCTCCCTGACTCACGCACTGTCTCTTTCAAAAATAAATAAACATTGAAAAAAAATTTTTAAAAAAGGAGAAAGTTCATTTTGCCTGGAATGAGTAAGGATGGCTTGTCAATGGAGATGGGATATATAAGCTTTCAATAAAGTGCCAGTCAGTGAAGAATAGTTGAGAGTGTTGGGTTAGCTGATGTCCTTTAACTCCTCTGATTGCCAAGATAAGCTTTCAAGGATGAAAGGCTGCTTCTCCATCCTCATTTCTTTGAGTGTCACAAGTACATATCGTCACACAGATATGGCAAATGCTTAGTTGTCTCCAGAATGAGCTGAATTAGTTTATTTTGTTGGGAAAAGCACAAATTTATGACATATCACACAAAGTCCTGATTGTATCACCGATTTTTAAAATATTAAAAATTTTTATGCTGTTTTCATGATATGATCATTATGTTATGATACTATCACTGAAGAAAACTTCTGGAAAATAGGAAAATCTCCCTACTGTGGCAATACGCCAACACTTTTCATCTTAATATGTCTGTCCCTGCTCAGGGCTTATCCATTCCTGCATCTGTTTCACATTTTGGCAATTATGGTGTATACCAGTTTGTGTTATACACTTGATTTACCATAGTACTTGGTTACTAGCATTAATTTACTTAGTACTAACTTAGCTGCATGTTATTCCATCTTTCTGTGTGTTACCTATTATTGAGGCATTTCCCTTTTGTATGCTGTTTAGATTGTTTTCAGCACTTTTTAATTTTTACTACTTTGGCTCAAATTTTTAACTTAAGAAAAAACAGATGCCATTTCAGAAATCAAGGCATGTCCTCCCCCTAAGCATATCTTGTCCCCCTTTCAAGCTCCATATATGTGACAAATATCACCAGTTTCAAAAGGTTATGTTTGAAGGGTGAGATGACTCACTTGTGATACAAGTTACATCATGATACAAGTTAGGGGGTGGATGTTAAGCATAAAAGTACTTTGGACTCATAAAGAATGACCACCTTCCACTTCCCTTTCACTAAAGGGAAATACACAATTCTTGTGCAAGAGAAAATAAATAACTGTGCACAACTGTTTTCTTTCCTGCATGAAAATTTCCACTTGCTCCTGGGTGATCAACCTTGCTGGTGCACTTCTCACTGGCAGGCTGTCCCCTCAACCCTTGCTTGATGGAATGGGGAGACACTGATTGCTTCCAGGAGAAGGGGTGATTCCTCCTTGGCCACTGTGATGGGGGATGCTGGCCTGTACCACTGGGGGTATGCATGGGATACTCTATTCTGTCCAGGTCCAGGGATGAACATGAGTATATTTATGTTAGTGTACGTATTATGATCTTTAATTGCACTGCTAATTTGTACGTATACACAATATAAATTATGCATACATTTTAATCATTTAATTAGCCGAATGGGTGTTTAGAACCTTTTTCTTTTTATTTCTTTTCAGTGTTTATTTTATTTTATTTAAGTTTTTCTCATATTTGGTTAGTTAACATAACAGTGTTATATTAGTATTAGGTATACAACATAGTAGTTCATTTCCATACATCACTTACTGCTCATCACAAGTGTACTCCTTAAACCCCATCACCTTTTTAACCCATCCCCAACCTCTCTCCTGTCTGATAACTATAAGTTTGTTCTCTACAATTAAGAGTCTGTTTCTCAATTTGTCTTTCTCTCTTTTTTCCTTTTGCTCATTTGTTTTGTTTCTTAAATTTCATATATAAGTGAATTTCTTAGCAAATTTCTTATAAGAAACCATATAAGTCTTTGACTGACTTATTTACCTTAGCAGTATACTCTGTAGCTCCCTCCATGTTGTTGCAAATGGCAAGATTTCTTTCTTTTTATGGGTGAATAATATTTTACTGTACATATATACACCACTTTTTCTTTATTCATTTATTAATCAATGGACACTTGGGATGCTTCCATGTTTTTGCTATTGTAAATAATGCTGCTGTAAACATACGGATGCATGCATCTCTCTGAATTGGTGTTTTTTTATTCTTGGGTAAATACCCAGGAGTGTGATTGCTGGATCATAGAGTAGTTCTATTTTTAACTTTCTGAGGAAACTTTCTACTGTTTTCCACAGTGGCTGCACCAGTTTGCGTTCCCATCAACAGTGCAAGAGGATTTCTTTTCCTCCACATCTTTGCCAACACTTGTTGTTTCTTTTTGTTTGTTTGTTTTATTTTAACCATTATTAAAGGTTTGAGGTGATATCTCATCATAGTTTTGATTGGCATTTTCCTGATGGTAAGTGATGATGAGAATCTTTACATATCTCTGTTGGCCATCTGTATGTCTTCATTAGAGAAATGTCTGTTCATGTCTTCTGCCCATTTTTAATTGGATTATTTGTTTTGGGGATGCTGAGTCTTGTAAGTTCTGTCTTTATTTTGGATACTAACCCTTTATCTGATAATGTCATTTGGAAATACTTTCTTCCATTCCTTAGGTTACCTTTTAGTTTTGTTGATTGTTTTGTTTGCGATGCAGAAGCTTTTTATTTTGATGAAGTCCTAAGAGTTTATTTTTGCTTTTTGTCTCCCTTGCCTCAGGGGACCTATCCAGAAAAAAGTTGCTACAGGCAATGTCAGAGAGGTTACTACCTGTGTCCTGTTTAGAATTTTTATGGTACCAAGTCTCACATTTAGATCTTTAATCCATTTTGAATTTATTTTTGTGTATGGTGCAATAAGGTGGTCTAATTTCATTCCTTTCCATGTTGCTGTCCAGTTTTCCTACCACCATTGCTTGAAGAGACTGTCTTTTTTCCCACTGGATATTCTTTCCTGCTTTGTGGAAGATAACTCGATCATGTGCCAGTATCATGCTGTTTTGATCACTATAGCTTTGTAACATAACTTGAAGTATGAAATTGGGATACCTCCAGCTTTGTTTTTCTTTTTCAAGATTGCTTTGTCTATGCAGGGTGTTTTGTGGTTCCATAGAAAGTTTAGGATAGTTTGTTTTAGTTGTGTGAAGAATGCTATTGGTCTTTTGATAAGGATTGTATTAAATTTATAAATTGCTCTGAGTAGTATAGACATTTTAACAAGCATATTAATCATATTTGTTCTTCTGAACCATGAGCATGGAATGTTTTTCCATTTGTTTATGTTGTTTTCAATTTCTTTCATCAGTGCTTTATAATTTTCAGAGTACAGGTCTTTCACCTTTTTGGTTAGGTTTATTCCTATGTATCTTATTATTTTTGGCATAATTGTAAAATGGGATTTTTTTCTTAATTTCTCTTTCTTCTGCTTCATTATTAGTATATAGAAATGCAACAGATTTCTGTACATTGATTTTGTATCCTGTGAATTTACTGAAGTCACTTATCAGTTCTAGCAGCTTTTTGGTAGACTCTTTCAGGTTTTCTACATATAGTATCATATCATCTGCAAATAGTGAAAGCTTGACTTCTTCCTTACTGATTTGGATGCTGTTTATTTCCTTTCAGTGGCTGGTAATTGTGGCTAGGACTTCTAGTACTATACTGAATAAAAGTGGTGAGAATATCCTTGTATTGTTACAGACCTTAGGGGAAAGGCTCTCAGTTTTTTCCAATTGAGGATGATGTTAACTGTGGGTTTTTCACAAATGTCCTTTATTGCGTTGAATTATGTTCCCTCTAAATCTACTTTCTTAAGGGTTTTTATCATGAATGGATATTGTACTTTGTCAAATCCTTTTTCTAAGTCTATTGAAATGACCATATGGTTCTTAATCTCTTATTGATATGATGTATCAATGTTGATTGATTTGCAAATATTGAACCACCCTTGCAATTCAGGGATAAATCCCACTGGATCATGGTGAATGACTTTTTAATGTATTTTTGGATTTAGTTTGCTATTAGTTTGTTGAGAATTTTTGCATATATGTTCACCAGAGATATTGGCCTGTATTTCTCTTTTTTTGTTTTGTTTTGTTTTGTTTTGTTTTGGTATCAGGGTAATGCTGGCCTCATAGAATGAATTTGTAGGTTTTCCTTCCTTTTCTATTTCTTGGATTAGTTTGAGAAAAATAGGTATTAACTCTTGTTTAAATGTTTGGCAGAATTCACCCGTGAAGCCGTTTGGTCTTGAATGTTGGTTTGTTGAAAGTTTTTTGATAACTGATTCAGTTTCTTGGCTGATAATCAGTCTTTTAAAAATTTTCTATTTCTTCCTGTTTCAGTTTTGGTAATTTGTATGTTTATAGGAATTTATCCATTTTTTCTAGGTTGTCAAATTTTTTGGCATACAGTTTTTCACAATATTCTCTTATAATTGTTTGTATCTCTGTGGTATTGATTGTTATTTCTGTTATTTCTCCTGGTCATTTGTTATTTTATTTGAGTCATTTCTCTGTTTTTCTTGGCAAGTCTGGTGAGACTATCAATTTTGTTGATTTTTTTTCAAAGAACCAACTCATGGTTTCATTGATCTGTTCTATTGCGTTTTTTAGTTTCTATACCATTTATTTCTGCTCTAATCTTTATTATTTCCTTCATTCTGATGGTTTTAGGTTTTGTTTGTTGTTATTTTTCTAGCTCCTTTACGTGTAATGTTAGGTTGTTTATTTGAGATTTTTCTGGCTTTTTCAGGTAGACCTCTATTGCTATAAGCTTCTGTCTTAGAACCACTTTTGCTGCATCCCAAAGGTTTTGAGTTGTTGTGTTTTCATTTTTATTTGTTTTCATGTACTTTTTATTTTATTTTTTTGTTATTTTCTGGTTGACCCAGAAAATGTTCAGTAACATTTTATTTAACCTCCATGTATTTGTGGTCTTTCCAGATTTTTTTCTTCTGGTTGACTTCTAGTTTCATGGTGTTGTGGTCAGAAAAAATGTATCATATGACTTCTATCTTTTTGAATTTGTTGAGACTTGTTTTGTGTCCTAACATTTGATCTATTCTGGATAATGTTCCATGTGCACTTGAAAAAAATATGTATTTTGCTGTTTTAAGATGAAATGTTCTGATTATATCTGTTAAGTCCATACGTTCCAGTGTGTCATTCGAAGCCATTGTTTCCTTGTTCATTTTCTGTTTAGATGATCTGTCCATTGATGTGATTGGAGTGTTAAAGTCCCCTACTATTATTGTATTATTATTAATTAGTTCCTTTATGTTTTCTATTAACTACTCTATGTATGTGGGTATCTACAAGTTGGGTACATAAATATTTACAATCGTTACATCTTCTTGTTGGATTATCCCCTTTATTATTATATAGTGTCCTTATTGTTTCCTGTTACAGTCTTTGTTTTAAAGTCTATTTTGTCTGATATAACTATTGCTACTCTGGCCTTCTTTTGACATCCATTTTCAAGATGGATATTTCTCCATCCTTTCACTTTAAATCTGCATGTGTCTTTACACCTGAAGTAAGTCTCTTGTAGGCAGCGTATAGATGGGTCTTGTTTTCTTAATTCATTTTGTCCCCCTATGTCTTTTGATTGGAGCATTTAGTCCATTTACATTCAAAGTAATTATTGATATAAGTGTACTTATTGTAATTTTATTACTTCTTTTGTGGTTGTTTCTGAAGATCTTCTCTGAAGGTCTTGTCTTTCTCTTTTCATGGTTTGCTGGTTTTCTTTAATGATATATTTAGATATCTTTCTCTTTATTCTTTGCATATTTATTAGTGGTTTTGGATTTGCGGTTACCAGTAGGTTTGCAAAGAATGTCTTGTGCATATAGCAGTCTATATTAAGTTGATGGTTATTTAAGTTTGAGCCCATTCTTTACTCCTCTCCATGTTCTAGGCGTATGGTGTCATATCTCACATCCTTTTATTTTGTGAGTTCCTTGGCTGATATTTTACAAATATGTTTATTTTTAAATCTGTTTGTTTGTTTCCTACCTTCATACTGTCACTTTTGGTTTTTCTTTTCCACTCAGAGTCCCCTTTAATATTTTTGGTAAGTCTGGTTTAGTGGTCATGAACTCCTTTAGTTGTGTTTATCTGGGAAATGCTTTTTCTCTATTTCTATTCTGAATGATAGCCTTGCTGGATAGAGTATTTTTGGCTGCAGATTATTCCAGTTCTGCACTTTGAATATATGATGCCACTCCTTTCTGGCTTGGAAAGTTTCTGCTGAAAAATCCCCTGAGAGTCTCATGTAGGCTTCCTTCATATACAACTATCTTATTTTGTGTTGCTGCTTTTAAATTTTTTTATCACTATATTTCATCATTTTAATTATAATATGTCTTGATATGGGTCTACTTTTGTTGATTTTGTAGGGAGCTCTCTGTGCCTCTTGGATATGGATATCTCTTTTCTTCCCCAGATTAGGGAAGTTTTCAGTTATTATTTATCCAAATAAATTTTCTGCCCCCTTTTCTCTCTATTCTTCTCCTGGGACTCCTATAATGTGAATGTTATTGCATTTGATGAAGTCACTGAGTTTGCTAAGTCTCTTCTTGTTTTGCATTGTTCTTTTTTCTCTCTTTTGTTCAGCTTGATTAGTTTTCAGTACTCTGATTTCTGTGTCATTAGTTTGTTCATCTGCTTCATCCAGCCTGCTGTTCATTCCATCAAGCATGTTTCTCATTTCATTTATTGATCCCTCTGTCTCTGCTGTGTTATTCCTTATTTCTGTGTTAAGAGTCTCACTCATGTCTTCCACTCTTTTTTCAAGTCCAGTGAGTATCTTTATGATCATTACTTTAAATTTTCTACCAAGTATGTTAATATATCTGTTCCACTTATATCTCTGGCCATGGCCTTGTCTTATTATTTCATTTGGGACAAATTCCTCTTTCTTTTCATTTTTTTCTAAATCGCTGTGCCTGCTTCTCTGTGTCAGCAAAGTCAGCTACTCTTATTCTTCAGGATAATGGCCTTATGAAGAAGAAACACTCAGGTCACAAGATACAGTGTGAGCAGCGGTTTGGGCTGGTCTTCTGGGGGAATGGGCCCACTGTACTAGGACTAAGGCAAGCCTGACTATGAAGGACAGTTCCACCAGAGAGCTGGGGGTAGGTTCTTGGTATAAGCAAGTTAGGTAATGAGCATAGGCACTGAGCTCATCCCCAGGTGACTTTGTGTTTATGCTGAGGGACAGGGGAAGGAAATGGCATCTGCCCGTTTCCTTGTTCCCAGAGAGGTCTCCTCATGAATGCTGCCTCTCTGGGACACACTGGGAGATGAGCAAATACCTCCCCACTGTGTGACCCTGGCCCTTTTCAGATCATTGTTCTTGCTATAAGTCCATAGACTGTTTCCCTGCCTTCTCTCCAAGAGAAGCAAAATGCCCTCACAGCTCTCCCTGCACCAATCCTGCTGACCTTTAAAACTCCAGGCATTAAGCTCCACTGGTTGCAAGAACTCACAAAATTTGGCCCTTCTTCCTTTCCAAGCCAATTATTATGGGAATTTGTCTTCCCATTGTGGCTCCCTCATATGTTAGTCTGTATTTCTCCTTTCATGACCATGACTTCCTCCCCAGCACAGTGGCCAAGGTCCATTTTTCTCCCAAACTGCATCTTTGGACTAGCTACCTTCTTTGATGTGGCCTGTTCTTTACCTTTAGTTGTGATTTGTTCTGCCAGTCATCAGGTGGATTTCTAGGGTATTTAGGATGATCTGATAGTTATCTAGTTACATTTGTGGGGCAAGGTGAGCCTATGGTCCTCCTACTCTTTAGCTATCTCCCTGGACTCCCTATACTTTTTAACATAAGAGCTACCATGTATGCAAATATGTGTTTGTAACAGTGGTGGTCACTCATTGTCATCACACACTGGTAGGCCCAAATCTGTTGTAGAGCAGTATTTAGTTACTCATAGTAATTTATTAGTAAACTTCACAAATGGTTTGTTTTCTTTTCAATATTATCCTTATGGTAAATTATCCTTCCCTTTGCTTGAAATCCAACAAGCTTTCTTCAGAGATAGAAAGCAATGGAGTTATAGCTAGTGTGCCAGAAATTAAACATAGCATTGCCTACCCTACTTATAATAACGTTTCATGGAGCAGCAAGTGGAAATATGTCATGTGTATTATAGTGATTTTCAGAATATTGTTTTGAAATACTCATCAAAGTGATAAGGAATTCAACAGATCCGATCTATTCTAAAATACATTTCCCTTCTTAAAAACCTTCAATAATTCCCAGTTGCATAGAGGATAAATTCTAGAAATCTCATCATGTCATAAAAGTCTTCCATGATCTTTTCCTTACCTACATGCCTGGTCTCTTTCTCGAGCCATATCCCCACAGACACCCCACACTGTGACCATACGGAACTGCATACAGTTCTCCATTTATGTCATGCCATTTTTCAGGTCATTTCCTCCAGTGGAATGTCTTACCCCAGTTAACATGCTGGCACTGCCATTCATCCTTCAGGAACCCCTCAGCTCTGTCAGCCTTTCCTTTTTGAAGCATTCTCATCTGCATAATTGGTCTCCTTTTTACATTTGCCTCTACTGAACATGACATACATCTGCTATTATACTTCTTTCTCTGTTACTATGAACTTAACTTCGACTGCCCCCATGCTTCTTGAGGCAGAGCCTGTGCCTTATTTGCTTCAGGCCTCTGATACTGTTCATGGTCCAGAGAATCTCTTAGTGAATGTTTGATGAATAAATAACCTGGCAATTTATCGGGATCTTAAAGCCAATGTCCACTTTAAGGTAGACCCCACACCTATTCTTTCCAAACTATATGGAACATTTCCTTCTCCAAAAGAATGTGCCCAGTGTTGTCCTATCAGTGTGGGTATAAAACTATAAGGCACTCTCAGACAAACAAGAAATCTACCTAATTATACTGCACTTCTGAGGGCAACATAAGGTCCTCTTGTCATAGATGTACTAACATTAGCTTCATGAGGCTGCCTTGCTGATCTTACTTTGTACTGCTCAGCGTTCACCTTGCTACCCTCCAATCATTCTGCACTCCTTTCTATAGTCTTCCACTGAGATATTAATTCCAGTGTATCATGAATCTTAGGCCACAGACTTTGTTTATGCCTGTATGGCAAATGAATGGAAAAGAGCTGGCTCTTTTCCAGTAAAAATAATCTCAGTATGATCTGACTCAGCTAATTGGCCAGGCTTCAGGTGGAGGTTATTCTGGGAGGCTGAGTAGTCTGTGGCATGGCTTTAGTAATGCTTGGGACGTCCAGTTATTGACATCTGAACCATTAGCGATGGGGCATGCTCTTTAAACAAGTAGCTGTTGGAGAAATAGTGCCTAATCAAAATCATTTGTTTCTCAGCCTGGTATACTGTTGGAGCTCAATAAACATTGTCAAATAAAAAGGAGATGAATCTGTTTATCACAATATTTTTTTGGTAGCATAGCCTCATTGTTGTGAGGGGAAAGAAATGAGGGCTCTGGGGACTTAATATGGAGACCAGAGAAGAGGAAAGTTTGCAGGGGAAAAAAAAAAAACAAAAAAAAAAAAAAAACAAAAAAAAAAAACAAGCATAGCTAGCTGAAGGAAGAGCCTTGTTTTAGTGGATGCTCACTATTTAGGGACTGTCCTGCCTGTAGAAGATACCTTCTTTCAGGGAGAAGACTGGAGCCTTCACCTTTGTTCTGAAACAGCTTCTGCCAGTGCCTCAAACTGAGGGGTGTGGAAAATTCTCTTTCCCTTACTCTCTGGCCTAATCTCTCAGGGGGTCATGTTGCTTTCTCCATCAAAATCTCATTCTGACAAACAAGCAGATGAAAACTCATCCTCTGCCCCACTCATTGCTTCTCTTGTGGTCAAAAGGAATTTCTGACATGTGCTGGTATGGTTGCAGTCTTTGACTCTCTTCTCTGCATGTTTTGAACAGACTATCATGAAGCAAGAAATGTCTAGATAAGATATACTTCCTGTGAGGATGCTTCCCAATTTGGGCTGACTTCTCCAAGGACCTGAATATTTACTGAGGGATGGAGACAAAAAAAACTCAGCATTTGTACTGATGTTTTATTAAAATAAAGCATAGGGGCGCCTGGGTGGCTTATTGGTTTAGTGTCTAACCCTTGATTTCTGCTCAGGTCATGATCGCAAGGTTCGTGAGTTTGAGCTCCATGTTGGGCTCTGTGCTGACGGTGCAGGGCCTGCTTGGGATTCTCTCTCTCTCTCTCTCTCTCTCTCTCTCTGTCTCTCCCTCCCCTGCTTTTCTCTCTGCATCTCTCTCAAAATAAATAAATAAACTTAAAAAAATAAAGCATAGATTAACTTTACTGATATTCAGTATACATAGTATGAGCTGATGAATATACATTTACTGGAGATATATTTGTAAAAATATTTTACTAATGGAGTACATAATAAAAAAATGCTGATGTCCACTGCACTAGACAATAGTAAGGTATATGTGCCCAGAGCCAAAAGGATCTGACTGGTGAGGGGTTGCAGGATCTTACATAGGAACTTGAATTTAGCCATCTGCATAAAAAGGCAGGTTCTATCTCCCACCTATAATTGTGGGCAGGCTTCTGCTCATAGATTGCCTTGAACCTGGCTGACCCAGTTCATGTGGGTTGTGTTTGCCATTTATGGGCCGACATGTGAGCAACAGTATTGCATTATTTATAAGGAAAACAAAATATCCTGAGCTCCTCACCGCATACCTTGTCTTTATGAAGAATGGGCTTTGCATCACATGTGGAATTTGAGATTCTCCATGCTTCCCTGATGGTGTCTTGTTACCATCTCTTATCATACATCCTGGTCTATCAGGGAAATAGCATGAATTTTTTAAGACACTGAACACATATAATGCAATAGAGCACAATCTTTCCAAAGGAGTTATTATAAAGCTCTTTATTCCTTGTAAGAAAATCCCTAAATACATATTTATAATATGTATTAGAAGTCTCTGAATACATATTTAGATGACAAGTTATGTGTTTAGTTGTCCCAGAGTACTTATTTTAAAATGTTATGAAGAATTAGGGAAACTCCCAGAGACATATCACAGTTTCTACAACTATCAAGCCAGAGAAAGTTGTTTTGAGGAGTGACTGACCTCTTATTCTTGGGGGACTGTTTGGCACTGTTTTAATTGCCTTTTAAAAATAGAATTAGACATGAAACAAATAGAGCAAATTCAGTGCTCATTGCACAGGCAAAGAACTTCTCAAGACAGCGTTATCTTAAATGCATATTTAATAAGTCAGGTAACCCCATTTAAAATAAACCAAAATGTCTGACTCATCCATTCCCTGTTCTTCTTTATGTGCACAGATTATGTAACATAATTTCCCTCTTTTCATGCATTCATTCAAGACCTATTTATTTGTTGATTACCCATGATGTGCTAGATGATATTGGGGAATGATATTCCTTGGTAGCTCCCACCCACCCACCCTATTATGCTTGTCATAGACAGTATTGTGCTTCTCAATGTCACTTTGTTAGTGTATTTATAGACAGTTGGTCCCTAAAGCAGAGCACTGTTCTGCTATGAGTCCCCTTGGAAGGAGTCCTCTGTGAAATAATGACTCAAAAGAGGTGAGTTCTCCTCTCAGAAACTGGCTCCTCCTGGCCATGTATATTCCAGATCACTTCTCAGTTTTATGGGCTTTTCCAATGTCTGGACGTTTGCCTCTGTGTGTTGGATATTTCATAAGATGGCCTCAAGTGGCCAGCATAGTTTATTAAAATTCTAAAAGAGAAAGGGTGGTTTGACTTAAGGGAAGGCAGTGTGCAATCCTAGAATATGGAGCTCAAAGGCATTTTCCAATCCAGCCCTTTCTCATTTGAAATTTGAGCCTACTGGGGATACCCAGCAAGGTTTGTGACCTTTGCAATGTTAGGCCCATAGCTACCGGGGGAAAACAAGACTCGGTGGAACCATGGAATGCCTTGTGTTCTCTCCACCCTTTGGTGCATCTTTTCTCAGCAAGCTGCACATCCCTCCCTAACCCCACAAGTCTTTCTTCAGAACCTTATTTCCTTGTGCAAAGTAGTGGCATGTCTCCACCTCCAACACAAGGGAAGATAAGGTGTTATAAAAGTTCTAAAACATGCTTTGCAGAGAAAATGCTAATGTAGCACTTACAAGTGGTGATGCAGAGGCTTTCCTGATTCTTTTTGCACAGGGTGAGATATTTGCTCCTGGTCTGCTCAGAGCAGGAAGGTGCAGAAAAATGCATGGTTATGGGAATATTTTACACACTGAATACCGAAGACAGTCCTTATGGTCCAGAAATGGGTTTTGGGGGTCCAGGAACCACCTGAAATTGAATGCAAAACTATGTGTTGAGGTGCATGTTACTAGGGGAAACATCAAAAGTTTCCTCAGAGAGGTCTGTGATCCCCAGAAGTTTAAGAACTACACGAGTAGAATCGTGGCTAGGATTCATGGACATAGGATAGTGGTTGGAGCTACCAGTGTGATCCAGCTTGCAGCTCCTCAGTACAGCAGGACTCTGTATGTGTCATTTTCATTCTGTAAATATATGCGTGGATGGGCCTCAGTTGTGATAAGATGAATGATGAGAAACAAGGAAAAGACTACTAGAAAGGAAGAGTTACCTGGGCAAGTGGATGGCTGTCCCTGCCCCCACAATTCCAACTAGCTTCTCCTTCCCTGCCTGGAAATTTTATTTAGACTTACAACCTGGAATTTTAATAGTTGGGAAATTCATCTGACTTAAGTCCTCTCTGTGTTCTGACTATTGCCCTTACCCTTTCCACTTTCCATATTTTAAAAATCCTGTCAAATGTATGAGGCCAAGGGTGGGAGGAGAGACTGCCTGCAGAAAAGCTGGAGGGAAACTTGGGGGGGGGGGCAATGGAAATGCTCTTGGATTTGACTGTGGTGGTCAATGAATAGTACACAAAAAACGGATACATTTTATTATATGTAAATTATACCTCAAAGATAGTTGGCTTATCACCAAAGCCAAAAATTGACCTATTTGTTGTTCATTCCAGCTCCCAGCTCATCACTTCTTTTCGTGGAGGTAACTGGTACTTAGAATTAGTGTCCTTGTTTCATGCACACATAAACCTTCTGTCACTACTTCGTTTCCTGGCTGGCTCCCTCTCAGATCCTCTCTTCCAACCTCTCAGATCCTTAAGGCCTAGCCCACAGCCTACTCCTCTCACTTCTCTGACTTCTCCATAGCAGCAAGCACTGCTCTAAAGGAATACCTGTTGATGATAGCAAGGCAGAGGCAACAAAAGAAGGGAGCTTATCAATGTCACTTAATCATATAGAAGACAGTTGTCATTGCTTTTGAAGTGACTGAGGAAAGGTGTGTTTCATAATCAAAAAGTGGATTCAAACTCAGATGATTTGTATTCAAGCCCCAGCTTTGACACTTAGCATCTATATGATTTGGGATGGTTTCTTCACTTTTTTGAGCTCCACTTTATGTCTTTAAATAGAGATATAAGGAATCCTTTTTTTAATTGCCTCTTCAGGAGATATATATGACGATATCTCCACAAATCATAAAGCTATATTTGTGCTTTTATAGTGTACTAGATGATATTTTTTTCTTTCCTTTAAGAAAATACTGACATTTTAAGGAAAATGAATCTTCCGTTTTGAACTTTAACAGGTGGCTCAGTTGGTTAAGCATCCAACTCTTTGTTTTGGCTCAGGTCATGATCTCATGTTTCATGAGACTAAGCCCTGCATTGGTCTCTGTGCTGACAGCACGGAACCCATTTGTGATTCTCTCTCTCCCTCTCTCTGCCCCTCTCTGCATACACACACACACTCTTTCTCTCAAAACAAATAAATCAACCTCTAAATAAATAAATAATGAAAAAAGTAAATCTTATACTATAATAGATAAATTTCCAAATTTGTTATCATTTCTTGTTTTAAACTTCAAGTGATTTTGAAAAGAAATCTGTGCTTTTTCAACTTTGTTCAGAATCTAAAACAATGTCCATGTTTGCCAAGTTGGAAAGTAAAATATTAGGAGAAAATTTAATTTCCAAGTTCCCAAAAGGTCATGTAGAGGCAAATGAGGAAGATAAATTTAATTAATTTATTTTAAATAAAAATGACTTTAATGCCCTTTAGAAGAAAAGCACCATTTCAACAAATGTGTTTTAAACGGAAGTGACAATTTCTATCGCTTTGGGAACAGATATGAATAAAAAGTAAATCAACAATGCTAAGCCCACATAATAATCCACAGTGAGTCAGTAGAGGTTATGACAACAGCGGCCTGAAGGGTACAAATCAGCTATTAAAATATCTGAGTTGATTATGTGCACAAAAGCTTTGTATCCTACTGAGAGCAAAGAGCTGGGAATGGTACTTAGGACCTATCTTTATTTCCTGTTCAGAGAAGAGTCCGATTTTAAGTAGTAACAGCATGTCTGCAAGTATTCAGTTTTATTCCATAAACTAAAACAAATAGCCCCACTTCACAAAGAGGGAGAATCAAATGCCACGGTTTGATCTATTTCAAAACATCTTGTTTTATCACAGGAGCCACTTCTAACAACTCTTTTAAAAAATATAGAATAGGAGGGGGATCAAGAGCCCATGCAAGTCCCATCCTGTGGCCAGAATTTCTGGCAAGCTATACACAAGCTTGAAAGCTATTGTAGATAAAGCTGTAAGGTAGTGTGATAACTAAACAAACATCTGTTGGAAATAGGAGCTCTCCTCAGATGAAGCTCAGAGAGCCATGCTCTTTACAAAGCTCATTCCCTATTGATGATGTCTTTGGTCACGAGTATCTGACATTCCAGTGATTTGTGGCAACCATTGCTTCATAGGACTAAACAACAAATGAGCAAAGGCATGCTGCTACCCATCTAATGTTCTAAGTAATGCAAGATCTGTGGTGCAGTCAGCAGAGAACATGCAGTTTGAAACAGTGTAGTTTTTTCATGTACTCAATGAGCATTTATAGAAAGCCTGGTTTTTAGATACTCGGATCTGTACTAGTAACATTCGAATGTGAATCAATGGCTATGAATGTCTGCTTTCTTAAAGTTTTGTAATATGTTTCAAGAACTTGTATTTTAGTTTTGGTAATTGAGTTCTTGATCATTAGTCATCCTTATAGTGATGCAGCCTTTTGTTTCCCTGAAAGTAGCTTAATTACTAAGGTTATTTTTGATGTTCCCTTGTCATTTTGATGTTCCCTGGTTTTATTCCTGTGGCCAGAATACAGTCTTCATTCCTTAAACACTTTTTGCTAAACAAATTTCTGGGGCAATATACAGATCTTTATTGAGGAGGACTGCCTGTCATGGTATGAAGACTAGCCAGCAAGAAAGCAATGAGATATCTTGAGATGAGGCTTTAAGGATGCTTTCATAGGAAGAGCTCAGTGCCCTGGTATGCAGGTGTATATGTGCACACATGCACACACACAGCTTTTGATACTAATATTTATACATAGGACATGCTGGTGTGGGTTTTTTTAGGATTTTTATTTACCTCAATCTCCTAATGTACCACCCTTTGATTTATATTTCTGTGACTGTTGAAGGCTTTTCATTATAGAATGATGTTTGTTTTTTTTTGTTTTTTTTTTTTTTTTTTTTTAATGCAGGGGCTTTCTAAATGAACCTTCAAATTTATTCTACTACAGTAAGGTGGTACGGTGGCTAAGTAGTTTTGAGCCTAAGTTCTGGAGTCAGAATGCTCAAGTTTGAATCCTGGGTCTGCTGCTCATTACTGTGTGACCCTGAATACTTTGCCTGGATCCTGGAAACATCAATTTCCCAATCTGTGAAATGGAGGTGATGATAATACCTATATTTAGGGATTGTGAAAGGATTGATTGAGATTATGCAGTTACATCTCAGCACCTGGAACATAGTAAACATTTAATACATTTTAGTAGTTACTGTAATTAACATTATTAATTAGGCACAAACAGCTGTGTTGGAGCTAGAGAGTAATAGGAATAACAGACTAAAAGGGGAAGGTTAGGAGGGTATAATTAGAGGACGGATGACAGAAGTTGGCAGGGCAGTTGGAAAGTCACTAAAGAACAATGAAACAGGTTATTTTCCCTGTTCACTCCATTGTACCTCTCTTTTCTACATCCTAGCATGAGAACATACTTTATTTAGTAGCTAAAATATAAAAATTTGTAGCAATATCTAGAGTTGTTATTATCTTTTATTCTTTATTATTCTTTTATTATATATCTTTTTATTTATAAAGTAAAAAGTTATCTTTTTACTTTATTTTCATTTTCAAAGGATTCCTAGAAATAAAACTACATTTATTCTTGGTTTTGATACATTTATATGGAACATCCACTATGTGCCATTACATTGCTAGGTGATGGTAATAGAATAAGGAGTAAGATAAACAGGGCCTTCTGCTCTCTGTTTTCTGTCCCCGGTCCAGTCTAATACACCTGCTACTGGGAACATGGGAAATAATCCCTCCAGGAGTCATACATACACTCAGTGAAGGGCTCTGAGGATTGAGGCTAGGCCTGTTAGTGGTTCTCTCCTGTCTCTACCACCCCTCCAGATTTCCCCACATGATTGCTTCCAACTTAACGAGGACAGAGATCACTCTACCATCATGGTTAACTTATGAGATTTATGAAGATGAAGAAGAGGAGAATGTCAGAAGGGTCCGTGGACCTCCATGGTGTTCATGGATAAGGCA